AAAATGGATAGCTGTTACAGCCCACCAGGTAAAGAAAGTTGTTTCTACTGTTAATACTGCGTGAAGTCACCACTTGCAAAATCCCCAAATGACAAAGTTTATACAAATAAGCATGTCCTTACTCATTCTAAGCAGCCTAGACCCTAGACCATGTTTATGAATATCATTTACATAATAAGAGGGCACTTCAGAGAGACAGAATTATTATTGTTGTTATTATTCGGTGCCACTTTTGTAGAACTTTTTTCATTCAGGCACAGATTTCAGTGTCAACAAATACATCCTTTGAATCCAGCAATCATTAGTTGAGGGCGACCGTGTCCCAGATACTTCTAGAAATTCTTTGTTCTGCACAGATCTCCTCCCAGCCTCTGGCTAGCTTAATTTTGTGGCTAAGAGGTCATCTACATCTGGCTTCTGTGGTCCCTACCAACTGAGTAGCCTTGGACTAATTAATGTCTCTGAATATCAGTTCTATATGTAATAGTGATATATAACATGCTTCCTATGTTTTATAAAGATCAAATGGAATAATTAAAGAGTTCAGTAAGCAGTAAGCATTATTACTGTTTTACTGACAAGAAGAGAAAACTTTGAGGTGTTAAGTAATGTAGTCAAAGCCATATAGGTAATTAGGTGACCAACAGAAGCCAAATGCCCATTTTAAGACTGGAATTTATGTAGTCCCCTTTTTTCCCTGCTACCTCTCCTGGAAGGAGCCCTGGCTGCATAGTCCGTGGTCAGCAGGTAGTTGTGCTGCCAGTCCAAAGATGGCACCTCTGGTGATTTGAATCCACTGGCAGTTCCACAGGAGAAAGATGGGCAAGTCCTGTGTTGTGGGGTTTTTTTATATCTTCCCACAAATCCACTGGAGAATCAGCTGTGAGTCAGTTCTGATTTGATAGCAGTGAGAATAAAGAGACCATCCTCCTGGATCCCCACAAGAACCTTGTAAAACTGTCACGGGCGCAATGGAGACTCAGTGTGTCCAATGATGAAGCTATTTTCCAAAGCCCTGTTTTGTTAAAATAGTGCTTTCTTATTAAAGGCTTTGAGAAGTAGTGGAAAGTAACCCTTCATCTTAACCCCCAAACCACAGCCACATTATGTTGTATTTTGCTTCAAGCTCTCTTGCTGTCTTAATAGTTAGCATTTGTTTCCCACCTAGTTTGTAGTCATGCTGCAATTTCATCTCTGTATTCTTTGTTTTTACTGTGTACTTACATTCAATTTCATACTTTTCATTTGTTTGTTTTCTGTGGTTTGGGTGAGTGCTTACAGAGCAAATGGGTTTCCCGTTCCACAGTTTATGCACACGTTTGTTTTGTCACATTAACTGCAATTTCCTCAAGTAAAAGCACTCTTCCGCGTCCCCTTGCATTCCCATTTCTGTTTGCACATCTTTTCTGCCTCTTCCAGCCTTCTGGACTTTGTATCGCGGAAAATGCTGCCCTTCTGGCTGCATATGGCTGTTCTGAGGAGCTTGCCTCTAATGATGGTGTTGTCCTCTTTATATGAGTGTTGTTTTAAGTGGATTTAGTTCTAAGTTGGAAGAGTGTCTTATGGTGACAGTCTTGAAGGTTCTACCACTCTCTGTAAGATCAGTAAATCTGGTCTTTTTCATGAGTTTGAATGTTATCCTATGTTTTTCTCCCACTCTGTCCAGGACTGTCTATTGTGATTTCTTTCCGAGCAGTTGGCCACGCTAGCTGGGCACCATCCAGTCCTGATTGCAAGCTGATGGAGACTTGTAGGGGTTTCTGTGGTCCTTTTGACCAACTGTTTCCTGGAGATTCTACTTTTCCTTGTGCCAAAGGAACATTAATGGGATCTTATATGACTACATGCAAGCTTTCAAATTCCCATTTGCTGTTTACCAATGTAGGATGTAGATAGAACCTTGTCTGTATAGTTTATGTGTTAGCAGTGTACCTACTTGCCCCCCAATGCCAAAACCTCAAGCTCAGTGACTCAGACCCTCAAGGTTATGGGTAAATAGTTACCGCCAGTTTTCCTTATTGTACACTTGGGTATTTTTTACAACACAGGTAAATACATTTGCAGAAATATCCTCTGCCAAACCTGTATATGCTTATTGGTATATGCCTATATACCACCCCACATTCATGCATATGTTCATTCCATTCATCCCACATGTTCAGCTTATGTATCTATATATGGTCATAAACTACTGTTATTGTTGTTAGTGCAGGGTTGGATGTGCAATAGCGTTTACCATGGTTGCCTTTGATTCTTATGTCCCTCTCCCTGTCTTCCCTTTGTCTTGCTCATGTTGTACTGACTTTCTCTTTATTGTGTATTTCTTTTCCCTTCACCCACGTTCATACATATCTGTTATCTAGTTAGTAATTTTCCCCTTTAGTTTCTTCCATCATCCTTGCTGACCATTTAAAGAATGCCTCATTCCGTGCATAAACATTTTGTTGACTTTTTAAACTAGTGGTCTCAGACAGTATTTATCATTTTGTGTTTGACCTGTTTCACTAGGGTAATGTCTTCTGGGTTCATCCATGTGGAGAGATGTTTCAAGGATTCATCTTTATTCCTTAACACTGTCTAGTATTCCATTGTGGGCAAGTTTTATAGTTCATTACCCATTGATGGCCACTTAGGTTATTTCTACATTTTTACTGTTACAAATAATATTATGATGAGCACAGGTGTGCATATGTCTATTTGTCAAGTCCATATTTTTTATGCATATAATTTCTAATGTCTGTAGAGTCGATCTCTCAACTTATATAACTGTTCGCCTTCTGGAGGCCTGTTGTGCCTTTCCCTTTTCCTCAGTATCAGGAAAAATAAAGTTGTGCATGTTTCAAACTATCCCCTGGACCTATCCAGATTGTTTCAGGAGCAGTGATGTCAGTTTGGGGACAGAGGTATGCCTGATCTTTTTAGTCACTTGTTATGCATCCGAGACCTGGACAATGAATAAGGATGGCAGAAGAAGAATTGATGCCTTTGAGCTGTGGTGTTGGAGAAGAGCATCCCATGGACTGAACATCCCATGGACTGCCAAAAAAAAATGTTCAGTGCTTGGAGAAAATGCAGCCAGAATGCTCTATGGAAACAAAGATGACAAAACTTCACCTCACATACTTTGGGAATTTTGCTAGGAGAGGTTATTTCTTGGAGAGGGACATGCTTGGAAAGGTAGAGGATCAATGAACGAGGAAGAACCTCAACCATGTAGTTGACACAGTGACTGCAGCAATGGATATAAGTGTGTCAGAGATTGTGAGGATGGCACGGGAAAGGACAGGGTTCGGGTCTGTTGTTTATAGGGTCGTTATGCGTCGTACTTGACTCAACGGTACCCAACAAAAACAACAAAAGAATTACTGAGTCAAAAAACACATCTTTCTTTATGATTTTCCACTTGCTTTTTTTTTGGTTCTAAAATCAAGTTTATTTGGGTAAAACCTATGTAGATTAAAATTCACCGTTTTTAGATGCAAAGTTGTGTAACCACTTCCACCTCTCCCAATGAAGATATAGAATATTTTTATCATCCCAGAAGTTTTTCTTGTGTCTCTGTGTTGTGTATGTTGTCATTCCACCTTCTTTCCTTGACCTTCAACATTTGGCAGCCACTGAGGTGCTTTCTTTGACAATAGTTTTATATTTCCCTAAATATCATAGAAATAGAATCATACAGTTAAATGACATCATGCTTTTGAGATTTACCGTGTTGTTCCATGTGCTCGGAGTTCTCCTTTGTTGCTGAGTGATATTCCAATGCTGATTGCTTCACCAGTTGATGAACATATGAGTTGTCTCTAGTTGGTGATGATTGTGACTAAAACTACTATAAACATTTACACAGAGATTTTTATGCGAGCATACATTTTTATTTTGGATAGGAGTAAGTGCTTAATAGGGAGCTCTGGTAGCCTAATGGATAAGGAGTTGTGTTACCAACCCAAAGGTAAGTGGTTCGAATCCACCAGCTGCTCTGAGGGAGAAAGATGGAGAGTTTGCTGCCCAGTGATATACAGCCTCTGAAAATCCACCGCAGGGTCAACTGTGAGTCAGTTCTGACTGAATAGCTCACAACAAGTGCTTAAGAGTAGGAGGAGCTGACTTGTTCAATGTCAGGCCAAGCTGCTTCAAACGATAGTGAATAAGAACAGTGTTTATTTTATTTAGCCACCAAATAAAAAAAAAGTATGGCATATTTTCCCTATATAGTCTATATTTGGCTGTGCAGAGTGAATAAATTCCACACAGCAATAATGAAAGATAAGCATTCAAGTGAGTTGAATACAATTGGAGTAGTTGGAGTCCTAATGTTGAGAGGGTTTCCTAATCCTCTAACCAGAATTGTTATTGTTGTTTGCCCTCAAGTTGGAACCAACCAATAGCTGACCTTCCCACGGGTTTTTAGAGGAGACTACTCATCCTTCTCCTGTGAAGCAGCTGGTGGATTTGAATTGTGTGGCTTTGGGATTGCAGCACAGCTTCTTACCACTAGGCCACCAGAACTCCCTAACCAGAATAGGTGGTAAATGTTACCATTTGTGAGTCATTTGAGAACCCTAATCTGAGACATTTGAGTCTAACAGAATCTTAACAGTCTGACATATTTACTTGACTATCTGTCATTTTTGACAAATGCAGTCAGGTCTAGTGTGTTGATGAGGGAGGTTAAAGATTGTCCTGGGGATGGAGGGATAGATGAGACTAAATGGGGCAAACATTCAGGAGAAGCAGCCTTCAAATATCGTTTCAAGCAACAGGCAAAGTAGAAAATGTGGGATGAGCTAGATGGAGGGGGTCCCAAGTACGTGGGTCTGCATGGGTAAAGGTTGGGGGATTGTCTCCTTGAGAATCCTTCCCCAGTGGTTTTGTGCATGTGCCCCAGCTAATTCAGACCAGGATGCCTGGAGTCAGGCCAGGGTCTTGTCTCATGTCCTGGGATCCCCTTGGGCAGCAGCCAGGAAAGCTGTTGTACACATCGCCTTTCTTTCCCACAGGAGAAGATCGGCTGGCGGAAGGATGCGTTACACTTGCTGGTGTTCACGACGGATGACGTGCCACACATCGCCCTGGATGGGAAACTGGGGGGCCTGGTGCAGCCGCACGATGGCCAGTGCCACCTGAACGAGGCCAATGAGTACAGTGCATCCAACCAGATGGTAAGGGCTGGGGGCCAGGTCTTCGGATATTCTCCTGGTGACATTACCAGTAGTCTCAGGGCTCACTCTGCCATGAAAACTTGCTTCTGACCCTGTGTACTCTTGACTTCTGATCCACTTTTAGGATGAGATTTCATGATTCTATCTTCTCCAGCGAGGACTCTAAAACTCTTCTCGAATGTAAAACATTTCTTGGGGATTTCTGAAGTTGGTCCCACTTTCTGCATTGTGCACCTAAATGTGAGAGCGTTTGGTCAAGGGAAGAAATGACCTGGGGGGAGTCTAGCTAGTTCTTATAGGAGGCAGGTGATTTTACAGGACGGTGGGGAATGTGCTGCTGCTGAGGTCAGCACTAAGATAATACAGGGTAGATGAACTAAGATAGAATCAACTCATACATGATACCAGTGGAATTTTTTTAAATCACATGAATAAATGCAGAGAATGCATTTATCAAAGTTTCATGATAAAAACACTCAGCAAACTAAAGAGAACATCCTTAACCTGGAAATGGACGTCTCTGGGAAAATGTACAGCTAACATCATCTTAAATGGTGAAAGACTAGATGCTTTGTCCATAAGATCAAGATCAAGACAAATATGTTTACTTTCTCCTTCAATCCAACTTTGCATTAGATAATCTAGCCAGTACAATAAGATAAACGATAGAAGTCATCCAATTTGGGAAAGGAAGACTTAAAATGATCTCTATCTACAGATGATATCATTTTAGATAGAGAGTCCTAACAAACAGGTTTGTCCTAGAGAGAGTGAAGCCAGGCTGCTCCTTGGAGGCAAGGATTCTGAAGCTTTGTCTGACATACTTTGGGCATATTGCAAGGAGAGACCAACTGGTCCTTGGTTCCTATCATACTTGGGAGGATGTAGGGACAGAGAAAGAGAGGACGACCCTGGATGAGATGGATTGATCCAGTGCTTGGGATAATGGGGGTAGGTGTGTCAGAGACAGGTTGCCTCAGGATAGAGCAGGATTCAGAGCTGTTGTACATAGGGTCACTATGAGTCGCAAGCAACTGGACAGCACATAGCAACAACAACAACAAAAGAATCCATTAAAAATTAATTGGAACTACTAAGTAAGTTCAACAAGATTTTCAGAATACAAGATCCATATAAAAAAATCAATTGTATTTGCAGACAATGGACAATCTGAAAATAAAACTAAACAAACAATTCCATTCAAAATAATAAATAAATAAGGTAAAACTCCCTGTGACCATGAAATAGAAAATAACTTGTCAAAGTTTCAAGTACATACAATAATAGAACAGTAAAGTAAACTCTTACCTCTCACCCAGGTCCACCAGTCATCGAGATCTTGACATACTTAACTATGTAATTATTTTTCAAGGATCTACACTCCTTCCTTCCAAAATCCATTCTAGTGTCTTGCCAAAGGGGAATCCTTTCAACCTTTCTGTACTGGGTAAACACATTTTCTCTACTTTTCCTTGGGCAGCCGGTATCCAAGCTTTCCATATTTTTTTTTAAATTTTTTTAAAATTTTTGCTGTATTATTTTTACGTGTACCGTCAAATCAGATCTGACTGGTACAGGAGGAGATTGCCCCCTCCTTCTCCAGCAGAGCATCTGGTGGATTTGAACCGCGTACCTCTGGGATTGCAGTGCAGCGTCTTGCCACTAGGCCACCAGAGCTCCCTTTCAAGCTTTCCATATTATCCAGGAATATTTGAATCCTAGCTATAGGACTTTGGCTAATAAGGACCCCTGTACTCATTAACCCTTAAAATCTTTAAGGATGTTGTTAAACTACCTCCCTCTCTGTTCCTCCCATATCCCCAAGACCCAGTCTTTTGCTAGAGAAAAGTCTTCTCTTCTGTTCATTCTGGCCTGTAAGAAGTACTCATAGTGGTGTTGAAAGGCTTTGCCATTTGATATGGAAAAAAATAAAATAGGGTAAGGACATAAAGGGAAGTCTTAGGGAGAGTCAAGATGAACAGTGTAGGATGCGGTAGCTCTTCCTTTTGGAGTCTCCTCACTCCTCCCCAAGACTTGAGAAAGGAAAGAGGACCAGACCATGTATGGTCAACCTCCACTCTAGAATGTGAATGGTTGGAGCAGTGGATCTAGGTTGATGGGGGCCATAGGGCCCTGTCCTTGAGGATTTCCTTCCTTTAGGAGCTTGGTTATTAAGCTACTTTAAGGAACTCCTAAGGGAAAGATGCTTTTCCTGGCAAGTGATGAGCTGCTGAGACATCAAGTGGAGTGTACTGGAGCCTGGTGCTATAATATCAGTTTGGGAGAAATGTTCAGCTTTGACTTTTGCCTCTATTCCAGGACTATCCATCTCTTGCTTTGCTTGGAGAGAAGTTGGCAGAGAACAACATCAACCTCATCTTTGCAGTGACAAAAAGTCATTATTTGCTTTATAAGGTAAGGCTGGAAGGAGGGAGGGGGAGAGGCTGGTGGCCAGATTCTGAGGGCTGTGCTGATCCTGAATGAATGGGAGGCTAAAATGTGGGGTCAGGTGAAGCGTGAGGAGGGCAATGAGGTGTGTAGTAAACGGGTTTCCTCTGCAGGAGGGGAGTCTTAAAGGAATATAGCGCTGCCTTGATCCAGTGGCATGCAGTAATATTAGGAAAACTTTAGACACCCATTTAGCAGTGTTTACAAGGAATTTAAACATACTTCATTTGATTTTGAGGAAAACCTTGGAGATAGTATGAATTCTTGTATTATGATGATGAAATGGAAACACAGATGAAGACGTGGACACACCTTCTTTAATAGGGAAGCAAAGTATAACAAGAAAGTGAAGGCATCTAAGCAGGACAAGCCACTGTTTGCAGAGTCATGTGCCTCATCTCTTACAGGGAGCTCTGATGGGAGAGGCCATCAATTCCCTGAATTGTATTATAACCCAAAGGTGACTCACACCTCTCTGGCAACTCCCATCCCTCTGTGGCTCCTCAGGAGAAAGATGTGGGCTGTCTCCTTTATGTGCAGTTTACAGCCACAAAAAAAAGCCACTGGAGAGTTAGCTACAAGAGTCAGTACCTCCTTAACAGCAGTGGGAGAAGGAGGGAGATGGGCTGGGCGGGGGAGATGTGACCATCGGAGCAGCAGTTCCATAGAATGCACTAGATGTCTTGAATGACTAGAGCTGTCTGCTTCTAAATCTATTCTAAGTCAAAGAGAATTTTCCCTCTCAGATGGACTGACCCTGACAAACCCCTCTCTTGAATGTTCCCTCTTGCCTGATGCCATGTCACATACTGAGCTAGAATTTTCATCTTAGTTGCACCAAACATGTTCATTTAGCAAATGGGATTTCCCAGGTCACCTATAATGTTCTTTAAATTGAAAACTTGTGGGAACTTAATCAGGAATCTCTCCCTTCCCCCTAGAAGAGCAGCTTTGGTTGCCTCTCCTTTATTGTCCTTCTGGCTCCACAAGAAAACCTTTGTCTGATTGTAGTTTTCCATCCGTCTTTCCTAAAGATTATCATTGATAAAACGTCACTTACATCTATTAAGCTTTTTTACCCCTTATGTTCTGAGACAGATCTAAAAGATGGAAACAAGAGGATGGCAGGGCTTTTGTTTGCTTATTTAGTAGAAAAATAACCTGTTACAGTTGAAGTTGATTCTGATGCATGGTGACCCCATGTTGGAAGAAAACATCCATTTATAAATAACATGTTTGCATGAATCAGTTCTACAGGTTGTACTGGCTCTGCTTCTAGATGTTTCAGGAGGGAGGAAACCCACCTCTCTTCCCTCTTGAATGCTTAAGGCACCCCTTCTCAGAACAAAACAGACCTTGCCCAGGTAGGACACTTGCTCCATCCAAGTGAGGATGAGGGTGGTGGATGTTCCTGGCATTGTTAAAAGTGACATAACCGGGAGTTTGTACAAATGAAAGAAGACAGGCAAATACTTCAGAGCTGTCCATTTTGCCACAGGAATTCACTCTAGAACATCGAAAGATAATTGAGAAGGCACCATTCACAATTCTGTTAAGAAAAGAGGCTGAATTTGAGACTCTTCAAATTTTTGCCTTTTTGATTCATGCTAGTGAATTAAGAGGATCCTTGAATTTTTATCTGGAAATAGCTAATGCGGACCGGGGAGGGAATGGCAAGATAATTATGAAGAATACATTGATCTTAAAAAATAGAATTTCACAGACATGTTTGTTACATGCCAGGGAAAAAAGATCTCCAAAGGGTATTCCTTTATACCTTCGGTTTCTACATTGTCAGCCCCCTTGCTCTCTGGCTTGATAGCTCCCAGCCTTCTGCACCACTGCACCTCCTCTGAGACAGCTCTTGCCCTCCTGTCTCGTATCTTCTTCTCTGTATGGTGTGAGAAGTGTGGCACATATAGCAATGGAAGTCACTACTCTAGCTCATCAAAGCGGTGGTCTCTTCTTGATGACGTCAAAGGACAAAATGGGCTTGCTTTTTTTTTTCCTTTTTAAATGGTTTTGTTTTATTCCCCCTAAGAATTTTACGGACCTGATACCTGGAACAACAGTGGAGATTTTGCATGGAGACTCCAAAAATATCATTCAACTGATCATCAATGCATACAGTGTAAGTCACTTGTTTCTCCCTCTCCTCCCCTTCCTCCCCACCAGCTCCTCCCTTTCCTCCTCCCACTGAAGCATCTGAAGTAGTTGTGGAATTAGCTGGGAAGCACACTGTGAGGGTGCACTTGACTCTATTCCGTCCCCCAACACCCTGTTCCTTTATGTTTGGCACCTTCCTTTTCCCTTCAAGCCCTGGATAGAGAAGGCCAACCACCAGAAGCATTCCTCATCTCTCTCCCCCTCCTCACCTCTCAGATTTTGACTCACATAAATTAAACCCACTGAGTCAGGGAATGGCTCAGTCAGACTCAGGCCAGCCCTAGTAGATGTAGCTGGGTTCTGACTACTAGGATAGCCCCCAGTGTCTCCCTGCGGCAATTCCAATTACCTATGTTGGTCCTGCAACTGTGTCCCATAGGTGAATGGAGAAGGCAGTGGTAGTCACAATCAGAGAACAGTAAGAGAGACATGCACAGTGAACTATCCTTAGAGGACAGTGGGCGTTCCTCAGAGTTCCCAGTGTGCAGCTTAGACGTGGAGACTAAAATGGATAAAAGGATTCAAGAAGAATCAATAATGAGGAGCTCTATTACCTACGTGCTTAGGGTCTGCTAGCAAACCAATCCTCTTAGAGGGGTCCTGAGTGGGTTAGAGGCAAGGATGGTACAGTTTTGTCTATCACACACTTTGAGCATGTTGTCAGGAGGGGCTCACCATGCTGGGAAAGGTAGAGAGTCAGTGAAGGAGAGGAAGACCTTCCACCAGTTGGGTTGATACAGTGACTATAACAATGAGTCCTAGTATGTCAGAGAGAATGAGGATAGTACAGGAGAGGGCAAGGTTCAGATCTGCTGTTCTTAGGGTCGCGATGAGTCGTAGTTGACTTGGTGGCACCTAACAGCAGTGTGAGTGGATTTTCCATCTCCTAGACAATGGCAGTTCATCATGTTACTGTTGTTTAGCTGCTGCTAACAAGTGAACCATGGGCTGCAGAACTAAACGAGTCAAATAGTGACTGGTTTACAAAGGTATCCTTGGAACTCTGCCCTTTCCGGTTTTGACCGAGTCACCCTACTGATGTGACCCTGTTTTTGATGTATGCCCAGGCCTACCTGGAGTCTTTAGGAGTGTGGGCTCAGCACGAAGGGGGATTTTGCTAGTTTTCCTGGCCTCCTTCTCACCCACTCACCAAACCTCCCCAACCCCTCCACCTATCTCCTAACTTGCTTCCACTGTTTTCTTGTGTAGTTAAGGGTCCTCTTCCTCTCTCAAATTCCCTAGAATCTACTTATTCCAAAACTTATGTGTTGGCAAGGGAAAGAATTCTCCCTCTTCTGCCACTCCTCTCTCTACCACTTCCACCCCATCCTGTGTATGTACTAACATCCTTTTTTTCTGATTTCTGAACTTGCCCCTTTAAATCTCCACTCAATCCAGCAGCAGTCTCAGAACCCAGAGCCCAATGAGACAGGTTTCCCAGATTAACTGTGTACCTTAGTGGTTTTCAAACCTCACGAGGAGGGACTTGGTTTGCATTTATAGGAAGGGGGAAAACATGTGTACTGTGTATGTCATGTGTGTTCTTATGTGAGCACAGTAGGTCTGCTGAGTGTAGCCTAACAGTGGGTGTGAAATGGGAGTGTGTGTGAGGGGTCTTGGGCCTGCTGGATGTCCTATCTTTCCAGGAACCTCTCCTAACTTGGGCCTCAAGCCTTGGACCTTGAACTAAAGAAATAAAAGTGAGCTGCCCTCGTTGCCCGGTGCTGCTCCGGCCTTCCTCTGAGTATGTCAGGGCTGCAGTGGACCTGTTCTCACTCAGGGTGGCCAGAGTGTGCCTCTAACTGAGGCAGTGCCTTTCAGGAAGGAGTGGCCGAGGAGCAGCCTCCTCTTGGTTCTTTGCGGTGGGGCAAGGACCATCTCCTGGGCTGTTGGAGAGGAGCTACTTCCCAGTGCACCCATCCTCAAGACACCTCATGAACTTGGACTCCCTTGGACAAATGTTGGCTTTGAAGATCGCCCTGCCTGGGGCATTTCTTGGTGGAGGCCTGGCCCTCTGCTCTACATGCTTTTTTTTAAAATATTTTTTTAAAAATAATTTTAATGAGCATTTACAGATATTTTGGATTTCCATTCATTCATTGCTGCACTTCTCTCCCACCCATCTCCCCCCCCAGTTCGCTCCTCTCTTTCAAAAGTAAAAGAAACACTCCTTTCCTGGTACACAATTCCCCTGCACCCCTCCCACCGCCCCAAGTACATTCCACTATGCAACCTTAATTGTGGACTCTTGTGATAACCATAATACCCTATCCTACATCACTTTTAAATTATTCACTCCCTCATCTGTTTCAGTGCAGTATACACAATGTATCCAGTTTTTCTCAGTCTTACCCCAACCCTGATATCAGTCCCATTTTACAACAGTGGCACCGTGCAATATTTGTCCTTTTGTGACTGAGATATTTCACTCAGCATAATGTCCTCCAGGGTCACGCATTTTGAATAATATTGCATGAGTTCCTCATTTTTCAATGCAGCATAGTATTCCACTGTGTGAATATACCACAGCTTCTCTATCCATTCGTTTGTTGATGGGCGCCTGGATTGTTTCCAACTCCTTGCTATTGTGAACAGAGCTGCGGTAAACATGGGTGTGCATATATCTGTTTGGATGTTAGTTATGGTCTCTTTGGGGTATATTCCCAGTAGTGGAATTGCTGGGTCAAATGGTATCTCTATTTGTAACTTTTTGAGAAAGCGCCATACCCCCTTCCAGAGTGATTGCACCATGTTACACTCCCACCAACAGTGAATAAGGGTTCCAGTTTCTCCACAACCTCACCAGTGTTTGTTGCTTGCTGTTCTGTTAAATTTTGCTATTCTGACTGGGATGAGATGATATCTCACAGTTGTTTTTATTTGCATCTCTCTTAGAGCTAGGGATTTTGAACATTTCTTCATGTGCTTGTTGGCCATCTGAATGTCTTCTTTGATGAAGTGTCTGTTCATATCCTGTGCCCATTTTTCTATTGGATTATTCACCTTTATCTTGTTGTGGTGCTCAAGTATTTTATAAATTCTGGATATAAGTCCCTTATCTGACATGTCATTACCAAATACTTTTTCCCAGTCTGTGGCTTCCCTTTTTACCCTGTTGGAGAAGTGTTTGGATGTGTATCGGAATTTGATTCTTAGGAGGTCCCATTCATCTATTTTATCTTCTCCTGGCTGTAGATCTACATGTTTTCTTAAAGAGGACACTGTGGATGGGTCTCACAGGCATGGAAGGAGCACTCTGTCCAATTAACACAATGTGGCTGAGTGGCTCTGCACATTCATGCTTGTGTGTCGACCACTGAACCCTAGAGAGTTGATAACAACCTTGTGGTTGGTTCCACAATAGGCCCCCACAAAGGCCTGTGCCGTTTTCTCTGCTACTGGCTCTGCATTTGCCTCAGGTCGGATTTGTGATATGTTTTCTTCATAGAAACCTAGGGTCCTAGAGCCCGGGAATGAGAAGCAGAAGCACTGTCTGTGTGATATTTGAAGGTTTGTGGGAGGCAGGCAGTGCTCTGCCATGAGGTGGCCTACACCTCACTAGACTGGGATACTTTTAGCAAAGACTCTTCAGACTCAGCAGGGGGAAATTTAAGTAGCTTCCAGGGGATATAATTAATATAACAAATGGCACACATTCACAGTGTACATTTTGATGAGTTCTAACATCCCGCCACCAAGTTAACACACATGCCCAACACCTCATAGTTTTCTGTGACTCTTGGTGTCTTAGTTTCTTAGTGGTTCTGTAATACAACTACTCCAGGTGGGCAGCTTTAACCAACAGGAGTTTATTTCCTCAAAATTAATGAGGCTTAAAATCCGAGTTCCAGGCACTGGCTCTAGGGGAAGGCCCATTCTCTCTCCGTGGGCTCTGGGGGAAGGTCCTTGTCACAGCTTCTATAACTCCAGTGTCCCTTGCTCCTTGGTCATCTACTTCCCACAACCCTCACTCATGCCCTGTATCTCAGAAGTGACACTCCCTTTCCTAGTGTGACCCCCTAGTGGTGGCCTAGTGGCAAGAAGGTGCTCTGCAATTCTGAAGGCATACAGTTAGATGTGCTCTGTATTGATGAGGGTCTGTTTCACTGGCTGCTGTTTTCTTTCTGATAAATAGGGAGGCCCAGAACTGGGCTATAACCTCCTCATACTCTTCATGGGATTCCCGCAGAGCTTCCTGGGCTGTGGGTGACTGTGTCTGTGGAGGGGTGGGGTGTGTGTGTGTGTGTGTGTGTGTGTGTGTGTACACACGTGTACACGTGTGTGGCTCGGGCCATTTAGGAGAGGCTCTGTTTAGCTCGAATCCATTCACCTGCTCCTCCCTCTGCCTGGGGGAAGCCCACTCTGATGGTTTGACCAGACCGTTTGCTCCGTTCCCTGTCACCTTTCCATCCCAGCGGCTTGTGGAGGATTCCATGAGTCATGTAGCACATGATTACGTGGGAGTGTTGACTTTTACCTTCCCTATAGTGCCGGCAGCAGGTTTATGGAAGCTGGAGAGAGTTTGGTTGGCGTCTATGTAACAGATGAAATGGCTGTGGTATTTGGCTCATCTGAGGACAGAGGAAACCAGGAGCGGACGTATCTAATTGATTGTCTTGTAAACTTGAGATCTGTCATTTGCAGCATTCAGAGTGTGAAATCTTCAACTCTGGGCTTTGATTTCCAAACGTTGCTTCCTGTGCCAAGTTCTTCCCCGTGAGAAATCACCAGGCACCCTCAGGTTGTTTAGCAATGTGGTACTTTGACCTGCATTCAGCATTTCCCTGGTGCTCAGTGCCGGGCCCTGGTTCTGCCAGCATACGGAACTCGCACACGTAGCCTTGGGAGGAGGGAACAAAACTAGTGAGAAATCATGGGGCCTCTTTTTAGAATGGGGAAGAACAGAATGCTCTGGAAATCACTGAAGTTGCAAGTGACATCAGAGGCCACGGTGTATTTTCCCCA